TTTCAAAAGATAATGATAATTGACTGACTGTTTCAGAATAAGTAACTGGAACTAATGATACTTCTTATCAAAAAATATTGCTAATTATCAAAGGTATTATTACCATATCAGCATTGAGAATTAGCATTGTTCAAAAGTAAAGCTGGGAAAATACATATTTAGAAAAACGCGGTAGTTAATAAGTTAGACAATGTTGTGCAGCATGAAAAAAACAGATAAATATAGTCGAAATCAGACGTTTGCTGATTCGTTTGAATTATATATATATATATATATATATATATATATATATATATATATAGTGATCTATCCCGGCATCTGTTTTTTTTCAAGTTAACAATGTAATATTGATAGCATGCAACGATTTGTACCGATAAATTTATCCTTTATACTGATGACAGTGGGTATTATCAAATGAGTAATCTGTAGCAAATCTAACTCAAGAATACTTAATTATAACTCCAGAGTAAAACATTTAGTCACATCGTAATCTCGGGTAATGAAAACCTGTTTAGAAAACATCCTGCAATCAAATTTCTGAAGAAATATTCTTAATCACCATAAACAATTTATTAATTGTGTACATCTGTTTTATAAAAAACTGTAATCATCGGTACACAGTTGATTTGTGTATTCAAATTGATTGATTCATGTTTATTTCATGATGTAATATTGAATTGTCATATTTATTTAGTAGTGTAATTAGTAGTTGTATTCAAGACGCCTACATCCAATTTACACAGCATACCATATTCATAATGACAAAACACTGATATATTACGTTTCATGAAGACTTTAATTTAATCTGAGAAAGCCTAATCAATATTTGTTCTAAATTATTTTCGTGGTGATAATGTTTATTCACCACCATACTTATTATTATGATTTTTCTTTTTAGAAATTCATCTGTCTATTGTCTCTTATGATTTGTACATACCATACTGTTGATTATGTAATGCATTGGGACTTCACATTAACGTGGGCTGGTTTACAGTTTTGTGTAGTTATATATATATATATATATATATTATTTGGCACGGGTATATTGTCTGTGAATCACTATATATGTAACTTCATGCATAAAACTAATTTTACTTGTAAAAGTAATTAGAAAAAGAGGAAATTTCTACAACAAATCAACCATCTTGGTTGTGAAAATAGTTTAGCAGTCGAAGACCGAAGGTGAAGTGAATAATATTCTACAGGAAAGGATCGTTTGCTATTACTTAAACGAGCAAACATAACACTTTGTAATCTTGTATAAAGGTTCACTACTTCAAGTTGTTCCATTTTTTCACAATACGTTTCACCGAAAAATGAATCAGTACCAAAATAATAACAAAACTGTATTGATTATGCAAAGAAACATGAATGGACATAATATATAAACACAAATGAGAGGATGATTAACTTTTGATCATACCTTTGACTATTATTAACTCAAATATATTTTAGTTACCTAACCCAAATCGTTCGGAGTAATAGTCACTGACGCCGGGGATTTGAGATCATATACTTATTGGGAAATTTCGATAGCCTAGTTTCGGTGTTCGAAGTTTGCCAAATTAATCAACATGTAGCTGATATATATCAGTATCTTTGAGATTGTAGTACCCTGTTTATAATAAATTATGATCATTTAAATAAAATAATAACGTAAAGTGTGAATAGAACAGAACTGAATCTATTTTTTAAATGGAGGTCCAGTCGAAAAAGATGAATTTTCAAATACGACGAACTTAGATAAAGGTATTTTTTGCAGATTTATGACATAAAGTGGCGAGACTATAATTTATGAACGAACCAATCAGGTTTAGGATAGCAGGTCTCGGATTTTGGCGCGAAATTCATTCACTCAATAGTTTAAATATCGTTTTGGCGTTTTAGATAACGTCAGTTTGTGATGAAAACCATGAATCTAATTCCTAATCCTAACCATCAGTTGTAAATCACAATCCTTATCCTTCACACTGCTTTATAACCCTCATATAGCCCTTGCAAGTAGGTGGACATTCTCAAAGTCATTTAGATTCACTCAAAGGTCGTCCATAAATTATACTCTCACCCATGAATTTTTATACTGATATTGAAACATGAGGAAATTCTTGCGAAACAGTAAGCTTCTTTTATTCAAGCAGTAAAAACCAGATTATACGACTTAGATTAAGAATCACTAACGGTGTGGATATTAAATTTATTCCACAGTACTAAACAAAGAATTTCTGAGTATATGTAGCATATTGCTTGTATCAGTAAAAATATGCAAAAAAATCAAAGTAATGGCATGGAGGAATGCTGCTCTAAAGTAAAACAAGGTTGTGTTTGTTTGAGAAGTTTTGTCATACATTAGAGGTCAATGAAGGCCTACTAATGATCCAAAATTATGTTATTCTAAGCATGAATTACTTTTGAAACAGTTTCGATCAAATAGTTTTCTAGACAACAAAAAAGAAAACTTGTTTGTGGACATGCTTTTTATCCGAAGTTGAATCATTCACTATGCATTTCCCTCCCTAATTTTTTCTTTTCTGAATATTTTAAAATACATTCAGTGACTGTAATTTTTATTCCACTGTTAGAAATCACAAGACTTTTGGGAGAGTTGTTAAAATTGTCTTCCTTCGACTTACAAGAAGTTTATTACCTGTGGTATTAATCACACCAAAAATATCTTATTGTTATTATTTAATATAAGATTGAAATTCAATTGAGTCGAAGTGTATAAATAATAATTTTTTTGCATTTTGTGTCCTGTTAGCCTGTGCCTACCCGTATTCTGATGAATGTAGGTAAAATTTTAATTTCACACTAGTATTTCAGACAAACATCTGGTCAGAAATTAATTTCACCACTTAATTTTCTCGCTAATTTTTTTCATTTCTTTGTTGATAAGAAAATCCCATCAATATTGATTGTTAACTGTTATGTCGGGATCCAATATTTGTCGATAAATTGTATAGATTTATTGAATGTTATTTCATCATTCTTCAATCGGTCAGCTCGTTTGTAATGGTTTATTCAGAATATTTAATACAAATACAGTAAAGCAATTATTTTTATTTAAAAAAGTTAATAAAAGTTATATATTTTAATTTCAATCTTAATAACGTAGACAATTTTACACTATCATTTCAAACTTCCGGATCAGTTTCTATGAATCATGCATCATAACCATTCACGATATTTGCGCTAAGGTTATTAACTATTGTAGGTAGTTCTCTTCAAGAAAACTACAGAAAACTGGATACTTGCCTCATGTGCGTTTGGTATTCTCCAGCTGCAGACAATCACAACGTTCTTAGGGAAACAAACACAGGTGCTTCAAGTCTCATTGTAAACGTTTCACGTTCATATGGCTGATTCCAGCCAATTCGTAATATAGCAAGATGATCACATCATTATATCAGTGACGTCTTTCAAACTTTTGACATGACTGAACTTTACATGTAATGATTTCTTTCCAGAAAGTCTAAAACATATATTGAAGCCAGTCTAAACATTCATATTATTGTACACTAATTTACTAGTTAATGGATCATGGGAGCGGCTTCAGGTTAAACAAGTGAAACACAGTTGTGGGCTTACATTCAGTAATTTCAGTAATTTGATTTATTTTTAATAAAAAAAAACTTATTGCTGAACTGCATCGAAAACAGAATAAGTTTTCTAGTTTCGATTGGTGTTTACTTTCACTTAAATTTTTCACCCGTTCATTTCTAAATGTACTACTTTCAACATAATTGAAGACTGCAAAAAATATTTCAATTTCGACCAAGTAAATTACATATTACATATTTTGTTTCAGTTTTATTAAATTACAGAAAACCATTTTATTGATTCACTTGTTACAATACAATAAAATTGAGCAAAGTTTTAAATCAAGAACAAATGTTGTTCTTCTGATTTTTCTCATTACATTTAAGCGGTTTTAGGGAATACACAAGCTATTTTTAGATATTGTTGTATAAACATATTCTATTGGAGTGTTCTGTATAAAGATGGATATTCATATTTTCTTAACCCATTTTAAACATGTGTGCATCCATACTGTTCATAGGTGAATTGTATAGCAGTCCAAAGCCCAACAACATTTTATAAAATCCCTGTCACATGCTCAATTAATATAATATTCATATATATCTTAAATACAACTAGCAATGTTGTGGGAAAACATTCTCAATTCATTCCAATGCTGAAATGCGCTTGAAAAGTCATCTCAAACGATGCAGCACCTTATCATTATAGCAGTGTCTTGTTATTTTAATTGTTGTATTTTCATTCCTGCCATTTTAACGCAACAACTTCATATGTCTTATCTATTTAATAATGACAGTACACATCTCACCGTATAGTCAATAATAATCAACAAACTAATTTAAAAGTAAAAAAGATTACATTTTTAGTGTGGTTTCTATCACAAACTGAAGTCAGGTTAAATATCATTGTAGAAAGAGAAAAGCAATATCCAGGCACTGATACAAGGTTTCGGTTGCTGAGTTGCATTCAAGGAATAAATAAATAAATATCTAGTATTTCCTGAATTTTAATGAATTTCATTTAGAATCACTGCTAAATTTCATATATTTATTTTGTCATATAAGTATAAATTTTACATGTTTATTGAACTGGCTAAAACAAACTAACCAGAGTCAAATACTTAATATTTCATGTAAATATTGGTATCATGAATGTAGGAATTTAGTTCGATTTCATTTTGCATCCGTATAAATGCAAAACACAGGTTTTTCGGTGCCCCAACATTAGTGTTGATTGATGTCTTCTTTTACCAATTAATGAAATGGGCTGTTAATACATAAGCTTTAATTGATTGTAATTTTTTCCTTATAAGCATCTCTATAAAAAGCCTTAGTTCATGGTTTTAAACTCATTTTAAAAGAAGACCTCACAGAATCATCTTAACACGTTCAAATGTTTGTTCAGTCAATCAGTAAACGCAAAATACTCATACAAAAAGATATAACAACCTTAGATCAACTTACCAACAATACCAGATTAAAATAACCGCGAATAGAATTATTAAAAGTGTAACAAATAGTCCAACTACCAAACCGATCGTAGCAGAATAGAACCCTTCAATGAAAAAGGAAACAAGAATAAATCAAGTTTAAATTATCAACATGTAATATTTTTTAGAGAATAAATGCATAAAACAATTAATTAAACATCACAATTCGATTTAATGAAGCCTTAAAAAATATTCGAAACCGTGGTGGCCTGCATGACTGACTAGTATATGAACGGTTTAGTGTTGGTTATTTTAAATTAATTATTTTAGGCCTTCAAATTTGGTTAAACTTACATTGTCATAACCGCCTGTCAGTCTATAAGAAATCAATTAATGCGTTAGCCAGGTTCACAGCTATGGATGTTAACATTGAGATGCATTCTTAATACCTATACTGATTATATTCATTAAAAAACGGTATTTAGTTATTAAGCTTGATGATCACAACTTAGGCATGACATTCTTACATTCATGTTTATTTGGTCTTCAACAACATAAGACCCGGGATAAATGTCCACCAGTCAATATCGCTCTAACTTACAGTAACACAGTGAACAAGGTTCGACTTTACCGTGGTCATTTCTATTAAAATACATTCCATTTAAACAAATTGTTGGGAAAGGTTTCCAGGTATAAAATAGATTATTAAATTTATTTTATTTTTTCAGCACATTTAGAAGGTTACCAACAAATACGCTGCCCTTGGTGTTTGCAAAGGTGAAGGCTCCTTAGTTATATTGAAGTTATTATCCTAATATCCTTAGATTCCAAATGATCCTGTAGTTTCTATTAAGGAAAGTCAAACAATTGAAGGTAGTCAGCAGTTAACCTTTGACCACGGTTTTCTGCCATGTGATATTCATCAATAAACGGTGTCTGTTAACTTCAGGAAACTTATTCCTTCTGATGAATTCGATTCCGCCTTACGCAGCTTCACAGTTTTCGAAATTACCATTATCTTGTTCAGGCCTTTACTGATTTCCTGTAGGACTGGGATATTTACAATTAATCGATCACTGAGCAGTGGTCAGTGCCATATTTGTTTCATCCTTTATTGTGTATAGAAATCTTTTGGTGAAGTCGCTATATGACAAGACGTCTGGTGTTAGTAAATGATAAAAGTAATTTTAAATTAGAAAATTTTCCGTCAGTCACCTAAATTGCTTCTAGTTTTCAAACATCTCAACTAACAATTGTAAAGTATTGTGTATTCCTCTGGATTACACTTTCATCATTAAAACTGAAATTAGAATTGTTCTTGTATAACACATTTACAGTACGTATCATTAATTTCACACAGTACTTTGTTTATAATAAAATTAGCTGCGTGTGGTTGATGTGTATAACTGTATACTGAATTTTTTAAAATTTTAAGGTATGTCATTAGGACTATAGATTTGAGACTGACTTGTAGTTAGACCTATTTTTAAAATCAATGAAATTATATACCTTATTAAAAAGCTTAAATTGAGAAGTATTAGAAAGAAGAATTCCAAATGAATATTAGTTTCAAATAACTTTCTATTCAAACTCTTAACATAACATGAGAAATGTTAGTATTAGGCGCCAAAAAAAGTTTTGGTCAAATTAGACTGTGTATAATATTGGTCAAATAAAATAATATAGTATGATAGTAGATGTTCTCTTTTCAATATGGCTGACATGCATGAAGTAATTAATAGCTGGCAAATCTATAAGGCCTTCTGAGTAAGAGATACTAAAGAGTCACTAAAATGAGAAGTGCAAAATGTTTTTCTTAATCGCTAGGATACACATTGAGTTTAAATGATGTTCATCATTAGATTTATTAATATATTTGGTCCCACTTTTGGATGACACTAACCTAAAATGAACCAAAATATCGAATAGATCAATATGGCCAACATTTTTTCACACATGGATCCCTAACTAAATGACAATGAATACATTAGGCTGGTTATTTTGTTTTAACTGGTAATACACTGAGTTACTTATGTTGATTGAAATCCCGAACCTGGGTCAAGGAGAAGAGTTGGGCGTAAGGTGAGTAAACTAACGTTGTAACAAATAATTTAGTTATGGTATCGCTAGCAGAAAAATTAAATGGGTTAACAATGTGAAGGACGTTATTATTTGCGGCAAATCCTTCTGTATATTCCTGTGATAGTTCGGTAACGGCTAAAATAGTCCAGTGATGAGATCTCAAACTGTATTCTATGTATTCTATTCTATCAACAGAAGTGGGTTTAAATCCAACTGTAATCATCACTTATTTGAAGATCTCAGGCATAATTTGCTGATCGCTGCTAGCCTGCATGAAACCTAGGTCAAGTTTCTGTTTTGAGTGTTTTTAGTAAAACTATATTTCATTTTATACTGTTATCAACGTCAGGACAAATTATCTAGCATATATTTTCGTGAAAGCATTTTCAGAAGCTAATACCCTTAAACTACTGTTTTTCTATTTGCGTGTACTATAATATTGGAAAGCGTATATTTTTATGATATATTTGTTTATTGTTACAGAAACTCATCATATAAAAACAACTCTAACGAGCGGCATAGTTTTAACAATGGTCGCTATACTATATATAAATATATGTTACCGTTGTCATAGGTTTCTGTTTGTTCATGTTTATCAAAGTGAATGCGTTTCGCATATTTTAAAAAAATCAATATAACGCAAGGGATGGTACGTGTAAATGTCATTACCTTGGTAACCTTTAAAAAAATGAAGAAGTACTTATAACTAGCATTAAACTAACATCAAAGCAAGAAACATTGTTGAACTGAGCAGAGTTAATCATGTTAGTGAAAGTTAGTTATGTAAATTTCTGATGTTATACATTTACTGGTATTAAAATGTCAGCTAGCGAAACTGAATTGAAAATTCAAGAAACTGAGATTTTAGTTTTGATACTTATGGATGAATGGAAATAATGTCCCTCTGAGCTTGATTCGAAATAACTTCTTATCCAAATACAGATCTCTACATCTATTAAATTCATATTAGTTCATGTTAGTTTTAAAAACAATAACTTGGGTCACAAAATCAGAAGGCTTGTAGTTCAATATACAATGTGTTCATCAGTTTGTGTTGTTCAATAGTCGTAAACCAAGATGAATCAGATATCAAATTATTTGTGGCTTATTAAGAATTTCCATAAAGTAACTACTCGTAACTGATTTTATCTAACTTATTCAAATCATTAAAACTGTAATTTTTTTATTAAACTTTATAAAAGATATACGAAACCTCTACATACAATCAAAAATTAATTCTAGTTCGGCTGTTTTTAACAATGAAATTGTAACTGGTCAAGCTACAGCTATTTATGTACCTTGTAAACATTTAATAATCAATCAACGTTTGTTACATGCATAATAGCTAATAAAATCTACAGAACAAGTACAAACAAAAATAGTTTCGCATAAATGTTGATATTATCTTAATGAAACATTTAAGCTATGAAAACGAGAACTGTCCTCTTTGCTCCTGTTGTTTTTCATACTGATCAATTGTAGTTTCCTGAAAATGCGCAAGTTTATTTAAATTAATAGACTTGCCTTTTGTAAAGGCAAATTAGAATACCTAACGAACCCTGAACGTAAAGTCAAAGTCCGGACATATTACCGAGAATTGAAGTTTAATCTTCATTGCTAATCTATATCATCCAGTAGGATTTTATTTAATCATATATTCCTCATTAAAAATGTTCTGTTTCAATTCGCTAGCCACCCATTCAGATAAATAACAACTTCAATTTCTGATTGTAGGTTCTCTATCCACAGACGTTTGCGATTAAAGTTTACTTCTATTGAACAGTTAATTTCTTAATCATAATTGAACAAATTTTATTTACGCTTAACTGATAGAATGCTATTCATAAGGCTCAGTGTGTCATGAGGTTTGTGAAAATTGCAAAATTTTTAACCATTACTAATGTATGTAAATTTTCCTAATTGGTCATTTGCTTCTGTTGATTGATCTGAATTAGTCTATGCACGAACTGTTTACGTTATACTGATAACAACCTACAAATAAATATCTAGAATGTTCTAAGCGTCAACAAAATGTTCAGGATTCCGAAATAAACATTCATTCCATGGTAGAATTATACTTTGCTATCAGAATTAAAAAACCTCAAAGAAAGATAAGACGCTTGAAATCCATTCATAACATACGAGCACAAAGTTTTATTTCAATGTGTGCTAATAAAAGAACGTGAATTTTTGAATAAATATGTTTTAAAGTGGTTTATAGTAGTTCAGTGTTAACTCGAATTATTATTTAATAAAACTAACACATGTACTTTGTTCGTCGATATAACTGATCTTCATCCTATATTACAATGACAGAAAATTAGTATTTGTTTTATGAGTTCAAAAATGAAGCCAATTAATGGTGAAGCAATCATAAAAAGTGATAATCACAATAATCGATGTCTAGATAAATTGATTTTTCTTAATTATAAAGTTTAGACACATAAGTAAAGATTTAAATTTTCCCGTTTTTAATATTGAAGGATGCATTTAATCAACACTGACGAATCGTAAACAGGACAAAACGTGCCTCTTGAATCCCACTGCTAACCAAAAACAAGTTTTAGTAAAACTAGTCAGATTCACATGATGGTTTTCAATACCATAAGCTGAAAACATATCCTGATGATTGATTCAAATAATCCAACATTTCATTGCTATTGTACAGGATACCTTTTCAAACTTTCATTGACTAATGAATAAAGTTTCGATAAATGATAAAGTATCCCTCTGCCTACTTAGATGGCATGAAGCGTTTATATATTTTTCAAGTAATTTTCATGTTTAAAGTATTTGGAAATTTATTTCATGTGACCGTAGGTCACAGTGATTAATTGTCTCTTATTAACAAATTACTATTATTATTATTTAATTTTTTTTAAGTCAGTCAAGCAATAGTGACATGTGACTTGTCAAATATAAGCATCGGTTGAATTCCCAACAACATATAAAAGCAATAAAAAAACCATCAAGACAACTGACAGAGTTCTAGAAATAACAAAAGTACTCAGTAATAGTAGTAGAAGAGATTAGTTTTAGTCGGTACAATTCAAATGTTCATAATTAACCTTCTGAACAAACGGTATGAGATCATTTTAAACTTATGATTTGGGGAAAAGGCAAGTAGTGAATGTTTCTATCAGTGCAAATGCATGAAATTGTTTTTTACGGTAGGGCCAGTTTTGTATCCTTCTTCACTAGTTAGAGGGATATAGGTGTGCAATGCTTCGAAGGCTTCTATTATGAAATACTAGAAACCTACGAATACCTCTTATTTTAAAAGATTAATTTTCACAGACGATAAGTAAGAAGGCATGAACTACATCGCAGTATACTCGTTCTTTAATTGGTAAACGAACAGCTCACCTACTTAATAAGTGATGCAAGGTGACAAAGTCAAATTAGCTTCCTGAACTCATGTCGAGATCTTCTCATGCAACGACCCTCCAGAGCTTGTAACCTTTCCAAGATAAGTGAGACGGTTGATATCCTCAGCTTCTTTTAAAAGAAAACACTTCTCGAGCTAGATAAAAATACTTTCACCTACGAATTTATGTTGATTCCCCATGAAAAGATATGTAATAAGTTTGAGTATTGCTTAGTCAGATTAAAATTATGATAAATAATCCCTTTGTTCCCCATTATTTTTTACCGCGAATGGCTGATAAACACAGATGCTCAGGTGACAAGACATTAAATGACAACAACGTTTAGAAATTATAAAACTAATTGAATTCAACAATTCTTAATAGTTATGTGATGAAAATTGACCTATGTCACATAGAAATAGGTCAGAAACTGTTAGTATCATTTTGAATAGTTCTTCTGTTTGACCTACTTTTAGAACAGAAATGTTTATAATGGAAGCTTTATTTGCCACTCTAAATTTATATATATATATATATATATATATATATAGTAAAATAAAATAGTACAGTAGGTCATTATCTTTTAGATTAATGCCTAAATAAAGTTTTATGTTAAAATGAATGGATTTCTACTGTTTCTAATAAAACTGGATATGGATAAAGCAGTTCAACCTCATTGTCGATACTCATCAAAATTAGCAAGGAAAACATAGAACAGAAAATATAGATTACAATTTTAAAGCCACCCTCAAAGATAAACAGTAATATTACCGGTGAATAATTCCTAGTATTTGATGCCAATCTCTCTGGAATTAATGTATTTGATTATTCACAATTTTAACCTTTTAATTGTAAGCGGTTTGTATAAAGTCATCGGCAAATGCAATTTCTCTTTATAGATTATCCAGTTTCGATCAGTACAACTTTAAAGACATGAGTAAAATATGTTTTTCTTTTAGACCACTTATTACAAGTATTTACGTTTATATGCGAATGCATTAAAATTATAACGTGAAACTTCAAAAGTTTCCCAGAAATCATTCACATTCCCAAAGCATTCCATTTAAAGCGGATTCTTAGATTTTAAAACAATTTTAAAAGATCAGAGTCGACGTCAAGTTAAAATGATGATTGGTTTTAATTTTCTTACTATTTACGAGCATATTTACTTATCACATTGATAAAATTGACTTTTGTATGATCTGACATCAGTTTAATGAAATCAATTCGGAGATTTTCAAGTCTGTTTTTCTCGTTTTTTCTAAATCTGTCCCAACTTGTGGTTACAACATCAAGCTTGATAAGCTTTGTTCAGAAGTATTTATTCAAAGTAGCCATTTAATAATTTAGCGTAATTACTGAGAAAATTAAAATAGGAGTCTATAACTTCAGTCGTCATTAAGTACTGAAACTGTCTAATAATCTCATTTTATTTCAAGAAAATTCAATTAACATTTTAATGAAAAGCGTGTCAAGGATTCTCAAGAGCTGTATGTTTATGGATCTATAGGTCAGGTTGAACCTATAGTCTTGAATCCTTACGATAGGCACGATACATTAGGCCTATTGTGTTCAAATAGAGTAGTTCTAAATAATTTCTAAAGTTAATTAATTGGAGTTTGAATGACAAGCCTTGATCGGTAAGCAAGAATTAATTTAACTTCGATTGAAGTTCTATCATAGTAGCTTTGCGTTACTAACTGTTGTGGACGTTAAAGCCCCAGAACTCACTTAAAAAAGATCGTAATTTTGTAATTTTATTCTGAAAATTAGAATTTTATGTTTTCGCGTCAAGAGACGCTTAGTTGACATGCAACTTACATTTTCCGCTCGTAATTCCTTGATTGTCATTGGTTGACGGAATTTTTAGTACGGTATTTCGTGTTTCTCCAAAGGGCGTTTCTATCATAGTATAAATAAGCTTGATTTGTGTACTTAGTGACCTCGTATTTTTCTGGAGGCTTGTAGAATACATTCTCTACGCCTCATCAAGACTTATTGATCTAGTCAGAAGGGCTGGGGACAACGGATTAGAATAGCCTATCGTGTCAATAACGAATTCCCAAGTATTGTTTCCAGCTAGACAAGTAGTGATTCACTTTGACAAATGGATTAGAACAACCATCAGTTACTTCAGTGATTGGTATGATTGTATTACGTATGATCACTGATGAACTTCATTGGAAAATATCATACCTTATAGATTTTTAATAAATTGAGCATTGGGTAGATTGTTATAAATAAATAAGAGAAGTGGCTTACACTGAGTCACGAATCGTCAGAAAATTTAATTTTTCTACTCATTGGGATATTACAAATATATTATTTATTTATACCTTATGGATTGTTTGGACTGAAAATGGGTACAATATGTAGGTTGATTTTAGTTCGTAACTTATTTATTACTCTGTCTTCTACATCACTTCAGTAGCGTTCATCAACGATGTCACATATTAGAAATTGGATGAACGATTTTATATTGTATCAAGCAATGTAACCTATAGAAACTATTTTATTACAACCGTGTATTCCTAGTAAACCACTCGATGAAACAATATGAATGTTAGGTAACCGAAGCCCTGCTAAATAATCATTTAAAATTGAGTGTATATCTAAGTATATATCCAAGTCCAAAGTTGGTAATAAAGATTAATCGATATGTAGAAGGCAAACTGTATCTGTTAAGAAGCATTAGTAATATAGTATTAGTTACTCTGATGTTTCATTTCATTGAAATGAATAAAATATTTTTATACCTTATCAAAATCATTACGTCACGCATAATCCTGGAACAAATCTCTGTAAACGTGGTTGAGGTAGTGATGAACTTAGAGTGTACAAAACGAACATCTAACATTTTGATGAAAACGTTCTCGATTTTAATGAATAGTTTAACTAAACAAAGCTTGATTAAAAGGCTTCTCTGAGCATTAGAAACTCAAAATATTTGTTTATCAGAAGAAATAGTAGATTACTGTTCAAAAGAAAGTATTATGAAAGCTCAATTAATTTGAAATTATAATTAGAAGTGAAATAATGACATGTAACACGTCACTTCAAAATTGAGACTTTCGAATAAATTGAAAAAGCTGTACAAAATATGTGTTGAGTGTCACATGGTATTTAATACATTTAAAAAAAATATTTCGTTTAACGATTAAGTTACTTTTAAGATTTTTCTGGTTCCTAATATGTATTATTGTTGTGTGCCATATAATATATGAAATCTAAAGATTTTCGTGATAGATTGTAAATACTTGGAGAACGCTATAAGCCAAGAAAAATTAAGAAGCTGTTTTATCTAAACCCGGAATACTTCGCGTTATACACACAACACTACAGTGAATAGAATTAAGAACACTCGGGTATTATTGTAAAACTTTTACCTATAAATTAGTCAGTTCAAAATCGGTAGTAAGCTAGGATAAATTAGTCATCCATCGGTTCATAACTCACATTGCATACTCATTAGAACTCACCTCCGTATAACATTTTCTTTCAGATAGCTCAAAATCATCGTATAACTACATCGAATTATCTTATATGACATAAACATATTCATCCATTGTATTTCACGTTAAATAACTAAACAACTGATTTCTACGGGACAACTGATCAAACAATCAATATGAGAATTCTTACTATCTATTACAAAATGTTATGGAGTTTATTCAACTTCAAGTTATGCATCATGGGCTGAGTTAATTTCGACAAATTCGCTTCAAGGCATGAAGGTTCCAGGTTCGGTCCTTTGTAGGATCATCTATATGTGGAGACTCTCTAAATAGGATACAAAAACAGCAATTCATTGTTTTCTGATCTTCAATTGTTCTCTGACTCAAGTAAGTTCATGACATCAAACAGGTTAGTTAATTCACTGAATATTTTATTTGCCCACTAGTTCAGCTACAAGACTTCACCTATATTTGTTTAAACAAGAGTATGAAAACCTGTTCCTTAATGTACTGAATATAGATCGCTCGTATGAATAATTTCAAAAAGGCATAAATTATGAATGTCATTTATATACAAGTGTCAACGAAATTTAAGTTCATAAACTAATATTTTTGATCAAATAATTATCAGTGTTAAACGTTAAAATAAATTGTATTGAAATGATACATCACTTGACAGATATAGTATCATTTTAATTATCATTAAACCTCAATCATAACTAGGAATCCCGTGATCACCATATTAATTGATTTCATATTGGAATATAAAGATTTTAGTATTTGCAGAACAAACATTAACTAATTTCAAAAACTTACCAGCATAGAACTGACAATAATCACCAATGTAATCATCAGTACACCTGAAGAAAGAAAAATGTGAAAAAAAACTTGTAATTTTAATTTGTTTGTAAACACTAGTTAACATATAATACGAATATAAATATGAAGTACGAACATTTTCGTGATTATTTATCAATTTATTTAACAAAAATTGAGAAACTGACTGAACAAGTGACCATTGATAAAAGTTAGCTTTTCATGGTAACATTTGCAGTTGAGCATACTGACAACAGGAAACCAAACTGTTCCAATAAGCTCAGGAGTTTGAGGTACACATTGCTTGCTAACAATGAAGCTTTATTTTATCTATTTGAGCCTAGGCGTGACTTTATTACCCCTGATGTATATATTCATTTGTGAATACAAGATAAAATAATTTGCTGTTATTGAAAAACACAAACAAAAGGTATAACAAACCTTAGTATCATAATATTTTAAACTAAAAATAGCACTGTTCTATGGAAAAATATACGACAAAATGACACCTTTGCAATGTACGTTATACCATTCATTGCATGAATATCAGCAGTTTAAAAACTAAAATAAATGACTTTACTACAAGTTCCTCATCATTACTGTTGTTCTTAGTTTAAATATAACGTAACTGAGTCTTCACCTCAAAGTCTAGCAGTTTCCAAGTTAATGTGTTCTCAAATAATTTTACATTAATATTGATTATTAGACGGATAAGCTATTGGTGACATACATATTTAAAGTGGAAATAAGATTACAAGACTATATGCTTTCTAAAACATTTGGAAAATATTTTATTTGAACAAATCTCTGAATTTACTCATCTCAGACACCCGATTTAAATAAAGTCATCTTAAGTCATCGGTGAATGTTATGTAAAATTTATTGCACAAACATCACTTAGTTACAGTCAATTAAATATTAGTATACGTTTAACATGGAATTATTCATGTATACGAAAATCTACTTTACCATGTACGGATGAATTGTTATTTGACTGACACTGTTACACAGTCAGGCTACTTCATTTTATTCCTAATCGAAAAAATTAATATTTAACCTCAGACGAAAATTATATGATTAATTTTGTTAAGTTGATTTGTTGTTACCATGGTAGTAATGCAGATTGTGAGTAACGTTATAAATTCACTACCAAAACAAATGAACGATAACAAACAAAAATCAATAGCTTCTTTTTCTTTTACTGTATATATATCTATACAACTTTAGATACACAATATATTATTTAAATTATTGCTTATTTATGAATAATCAATAAAACTGAGATATTTAGGTAAGCGGTTACACAAATGCCACTCTAGATTAAAGAAAAAATGATGAAATAGCTTTTCTTGTTTGATGTCATGTCAGTTGTATCTCATTTATGGACAATGTGATATCTGAAACTGTTGATAGAGCATAATTAGTTTATAGTAGCTGTAATTTTAATGTTCGCGTTACGAAAGCCAACTAATATCGCTTGTTTAGCTTCAATACAGAAAGCTGGTACTTGGTCCATAAATATTCATGATTTTGAAATACATTAATTTATAAATCTTGTGTTTCAATTATGTATCAGATTAATGTATAGTTTGAAATCAACCATACCATTTTTATCACATGACAGACTGTCTTACGAGGCATACATGTTGCCATATATAAAAGGGTTAATAGGTTTGACTAGGTACTAGTCGAATGTAGTCGATTCGCTCAAACTCACACGATAAGAATTACGTGGTGATAATATTCATTCACTAAAAATTATTGTTAGCCTTCTTATAGTACAATAAAATTATTAGTTATCGATTAATATGAAACCAAGTTTAGTAAATTAGACTTAGTCAATTAGCAGAAATAATTACCTACAATATCTTGCGGATATTTATTTAGTTGAAGACAAAACATGGTATTTCTTTAAAGAAACGACTATGTATTTTAAGCGAGGTACGTTTTAACAAGATAATTCATTCATGTAGTGCAATTCTTGAAAAAATCCGACTATTAGATAGATATAAAAGCTGTTAGTCACTCCGTTATGGCCACAAATGAAGTAATGCAAAGTATTATCTCAACAACTTCGGTCTTTATAGCTTATGCAAATAACATCTAGAACTTCGTTTCTATGGGTTACTTTTTCTGAATTAGAATGGTCTTAAGACTATGATTTCATTTTTTCCGCCTAATTTAAACCATATACAAATTCAACTTAGTATTGTTTGTTTGAATCTTCCCATCGATTTGCTAGGACTGCAACTGGTCAGTCTCTAATTGGCATATGTGCATACTGTGCGTATTGCCTCGATATACCTTAATTCACAAGAATGGTTAGAAGAGATGGATAGTGGCTAGCAGTGGAATCTCTGCTAACCATGCTTGTGAATTAAGGTATATCGAGGCAATACGCACAGTATGCACATATGCCAATTAGAGACTGACCAGTTGCAGTCCTAGCAAATCGATGGGAAGATTCAAACAAACAATACTAAGTTGAATTTAAGCTTCACCCCATCGCACAAGCAAGTGGCTATCAGGACTCAGTGGCCGAGTGGATAACGCGATGGCATTTGAAGCGAGGGTACTGGGTTCGAATCCCAGGGTGAACATCAACTCTGAGATGCAGGTACATCCAGCTGACGAGTCCCAAATGGGACGAAACGCGCGTCCTGGATTCCACTGCTAGCCACTATCCATCTCTGCTAACCATATACAAATTGTATCGGTAGGGACCTCAATAAAGTTGCCCAGTGACGACTGAAATCGAATTCGGGACTTGGAACTGGAAAATACGGATACGTTTGCTATGATGACCCGTTTATCAACTTAAACTTCATGAATCATAGGGTTTTATCTGGGTTACATGCAGTGGTGAACTTAGGGCTCAGGTATTCCGACAATCTCTCCATCTCATAACAGGTCTTCAAACAAATTTCCAAGTATCAACTACTTTTGAGGTGTATATTTCGTAACATCTATAACATTGACTCACTTACGTTGATGCACAAAGTATGTTATAGAACAAGGCACTTTCACTGTGAATAGTGTTTAAATTTAAAATAAATTTCGATTGAAATCCATACAGCAGCGATTCACACTTTGCATTATAAGGAATGATGAAATAAAAACCTACGAACCCAAATGCCATAAGCTTTCACTCAACCTTTCATGGGAACGGTGACTTGAATTTAATCTTTTTCTTCGAAATACTTAATAAAATATCATTTACATCCACTGATACGATACAATATCCATGCCTGTCTGCTTATAAAATCTATAACATTTTATCATTAGTGAGACTGTCTCACTCCAAATCTCTTTATATGAGTTATTTTTCCGGTAAACTTTCCACTCTGGAATAGATTGAAGCCATCTTTCGATGAAATAAAATCACTATGATCTTTGTTCATTACATCGGTGCTTGCCACACCTCAGAAACTGCCATAAATGTTCTTACTATTTTGAATGAATTCCATTCCACTAGTGAAATTATGGGCATATTGTATGTTTAATCATTGATATTATTGAGAGCATTCATTACACGTTCTTTCTGGGAAATGTTTTACTCTAGAACTGTCCCTGGTTAATTTCACTAGCTTAAATATCTATCCTAAGAAATAGATTATAAAACAACTTAGCAGTTATATATCGGCAGATATCACAGTAATTCTCTACGCTGTGCTTTTGTGTCATGTTTTATCGCCTTTTTAATTGAATATGATTGAAATTACTCTGTAATGCTACTGGAAATACCCCTTCATACACTACACATGAACTAACAGTATTCCCTGGTTCTCGTAAAAATAGTTAACGACTCCCAAATGCTGCCACACATTATTGTAATCTTTGTAATAAATATCCTTTCGAAACAATTAATTAATCATTAGAAGGGGTTTTGTGGAGATTTGGTATGTTTCATAGTTGAAAGCATGAGTCAATTGAAGCTAGACCACCGAGGAAAACCTGGAAACACTGGACGGCCGTTTCATCCTATTATGGGACTCCTCAGCAGTGTGCATCCACGAACCCGCTCTCGCGAGATTCGAACCCAGGAGCGGGTTCGTGGATGCGCACTGCTGAGAAGTCCCATAATAGGACGAAACGGCCGTCCAGTGTTTCCAGGTTTTCCTCGGTGGTCTAGCTTCAATTGACTCATGCTTTCAACTATGAAACATACCAAATCTCCACAAAATCCCTTCTATAATTAATATAATCATATGCTCACTAGTGACTTCGGGAAGTACATCCAGGAGCTCTAGTGAGAAGCAGTGACCAGTGGAGTGCAAACCACGTCTGTCGTGAGATAGGAACTCACTGATGACAATTGGTGAATGGTTGCTCAACTTCGTGGATCAGTTGAAGTTAGAAATTAACACCGTTGGATGCCAGCTCAGTGGTCTGTCGGTTAAGGGCTTCGGCTCGAGACTGGTAGGTCCTGGGTTCGAATCTCGCTCGCGAGAGCGGGTTCGTGGATGCGCACTGCTGAGAAGTCCCATAATAGGACGAAACGGCCGTCCAGTGTTTCCAGGAATTAATTAATCATTTAAATTCAAACACTTTAACAGCATATGTTTGTCCTATAAACGTTATATTGATTTCTGTATCAATTTGATCATGAGTGTAAAGTAGCGTATATTTTGTAATTATTTCCAGAATATTATATTTGTTTATTTATTATTCATTATCTATCTTAATTGCTATTTCAAAGGTTATCAATCAATAGATAAGACAGAATTACTTTTAACTGAAGCGATCCTATTAAGTAAAACATTCTCTTTAAAAGTAAAGACCTAGATATAGCATACGTCATAAAATTATATATAATGTTACTAAATTGAGTTTACCATTTCTTGTTGATATTTGTGATGATCCTTTGATGGGAATCAGTAATCAGTGCTATTGATAAAAACCAATCTGTCGAATTCATTTAACATACGCTACTAAACCTTCATGACAATGTAAACTTCAATATTACAGTTTAACAACAATGAAAGTAATTAAGTCTTGTGATTCCAATTCTTACACAAATGGGTTTTGTAAGTTGAACATTCTT